GAATCAGGTATTAATAAAAATACACACAATACGTCTTCATCTATTGAGCAAAGCGGGTTGAGCGTTAAAGGCCATGCTCACAATAACCGATTCATGAGAATTTCTAGGGGTTAGCCTAACCCCCCCACCACCAACCGCGGCCATCACGGCTTCTCTCACGTAGGTTATAAGGACCATGAATTTTGATACTAATTAAAATAATTTTTTGGTATTTCAAAATATTTAATTATTATTTTTAAAAGAGTATTTATATTTTTCTCGATTTCCTACAATTTTCTATGATTTAAAAATCTGATTATATATTTATTTAAATGATTTTGATATTTATAAATTTATTTTGTGTGGTAAAAATTTATAAAATTTAATTTGTTGTGTTATCGGTATTATTACGTATTATTTCGTATAATACTTTGTATTATTAATTACATATTATTTGTATAATTTATTGTATTATTTTTACTGTTGCATATTATCGATTGTATTAGTATAACTGGTACATTTTACTGTGTATATAATTATCCTATAATTATTTGATTTTAAATATAAGAAATTATATATTTATTTAATTATTTTTGTTCAATTGTACACTTTCTTACATTATTTTTATTATTGCATATTATCGGTTATAATACTACAATTGGTAAGTTTTGAAGTGTAGATAATTTTTATATACTTTTTTTCGTAATTATTATTATTTTAAACAGTTTAAAAAAAAACCTAATTTTAAACAGTTTAAAATTGGTGTGTTTGAGTTTAAGAACGTGTAGATCAAGTTCAACGAAGCGGATCGCAAAAAAAATTAGGAAATGATGTGATTTTAGGCCGCGTCCTTAGGTGGGAGCCTAGGGTGTCACATTAGATTCACTTTCATTCCCCTCCTCTCGACTGTCGACCACCCAACCACCAGCGGCCCTCCGATGTCCCTCTCTCCGTGACAATCCACCCTGCCTCAACCAGTACCCCACCTCGCCGCTCGAGTGTCGCCCAACGTAACCGCCAAGCCTCGCTTCCCGCTCACATCGCAGCACCTCGTCCGCCCCTAACCACTTCATTCCCCATCTCAGCCCCGACCCCTCCTTCATCACGTCCACCCCTGAGCTCCAACATGAGCTCATAGATCCGACCAAACTCGGGCGTCGTTATCCCGCTGC